GAGGAGGCTGTGGGGCAAAAAGGTGAGTGAGGACGCCAAGGGGGAATGGGGTCCAACAGGCTGGAGAGTGCAGGCATGGGAATGGGATGGCACCTTAATGGGACCAGGTCAACCCAAGCTCCTTGGGGCACTGGTGACACAAATAACAAGTTGTGACCATTGCCAGAAAAAGTTATGGGGCCGAGACAGGCAAAGGGGCAGAAGGGCACAGGGCAGAGAGCCCTGGCTGTATAAGCGCATCCTGGGTTTCACTTCCCACAGGGCACCACCACTGCTGTGTGTCATTCCTGCATCTTCCTAGAGCCCTGGATATCCCTCAGGGAAACGACCCTCGTGTCCCTGGTGGGGAGGGCCAGACAGCCCCTCTGGGGTGCACAGGTAGCAGTGTGGTGCAGAGCAGGGCTGGCCTCAGCTCGCAGTTCGGCGGCAGTGTCAGCACAGAGGCAGGAAGGAGATGCAGCTTTAATGGCATTTGTTGATGTTTACAACATGAGTCATCTGGCTAAGCAGCCATAAATCAGCACCCCAACTCCTCCGGCATCAATCGTGTCCCCTCCTCTGTCCCCCCAGCACTGGACGAGTGCCTAGATCCTGCAGAAACAACCTCATAAATAACAGCAACAAAACAAACCCTGTTGCAGCCGCTGCAGGCCCGTGTGCACCAGGCATGAGATGAACGCTTCCCATCCATCACTTTAATGGTTGTACTCTGGAAATTAAACCTGTCACAGCCCATCAAGGTGAATGTTTTAAGTCTGTGACATCCCTTCATCTCCCCCCCACCCCCGCCCTGCTCCTTCCTGGCTCTTCTTTTGTTGCTTTCCTTCTCTCTTTTTCCTCTCTGCCCCTCCCATCCCTGTACCTACCACTGCACTCCTGCCCTGGTGCTCCAGACTGTCATCCTCTCCATGCTCCCCTACTGACAGAGGACCAGGTGGTAGATGTCTTTGGCCCTGAGGCTATTGCAGCTATGGCCTGGAATCTGCCAGCATCTCAGTGCCCAGTCCTGTTGGGGGAGAGCACATCTCCCATGGGTTGATGAGTCTCTCCTGCCCCACTCTCCCTGCAGGGGAACTGGGCATCATCTTTTCCTCCTCTCCCTCCCCTTCTCCTTTTCTTCCCTGTGATTTTTCCACCTTTCCCCTCACTTATTCCTCTTCTGTTCCATGTTACGCCGGTCATCCCAGGCTCCTGGCTTGCAGCCCTTGTCCTGGCTCACATCCTCTCCCCTGGAGCAATGGCAGCCCTTGTACCACCCCCAGGACCAGAGCTCACCCCTGGGCAGTGCCAAGGGTCTAGATATCTCCTGCATGGACAGCAGGGCACTGCTCTGCCCTGGACTGGGCTGCCTGGGGACGGGAGATCTGGGCACAAAGGACGCTAGGAATCCAGGGGAAGCTGCTGAGCTGGCAGCAATCAATGTGGATCACTGTCACCTCACACAGGACTGCTATCCATCCATCCATCCATCCATCCATCCATCCATCCCCATGCTCCTCTCTCCCATCATCTGTGTTCCCTGTTCATCCCTCTGTCCCACAAGCATCACATCTTTCCCCCTGCTCAGGGAGCTGCCCCCTAGCCCCATGGCAGCATCAGCCACTTCCAGGCATTGCCTAGCCCTGCGAGATGTGACAGCCTCACACCAGCTCTTACCTGACCCATGCCTTGCTGACCGGCTCCTGGGAGTGAACAGAGGCTCCCTGGGGGCTGCTGCGCTTGGCAGGTCCCAGCCCCACAGCAGGTCCTGGGGGCAGGCAGCCCTCCCTGCCACCCCCAGGCAGGGACAAGGAGAAGAGAGGAGGAGGCAGCAGGACGTGAGGCAGGAGGGGGCCACCACATGCTGCCTCAACATAGGGCAGCTTAGCCCAGCCCAGCCCAACCTGCCCCACTCCTGCAGCCCTGTATGTCCTGGGATGCAGAAGCAGAGCTATCCCCTGGGGCTGGGGCAGCTGAACACTTCAGGGCTGGTCCCTCTGCCTGCACGGTTGTCCCAGCATACCCAAGGGGAGGGCCAGAAATTGTGCAGGAGGCGTGGGAGGTCTATAGGGTCTGCCAGGACCTTCCGGCATCTTAAGGATGAGGGCGGCCTGCTTACTTGGCAGGGGTCAGGGCTTAACCCCAGTGGTTCTAGAGAGGTGGTAGAGGGTATCCATTATTCCTGCTACCAGGGGTTGATTTGGGCCCACTCAGAGTGAGCAGGTTCCCAAGAGGATCATGAAAGGAGCACAGAAACGGACTGAGAGGAGTTCAGACATCACCATGGGAAAAGAGTGGCTCACCCAAACAGCCTGAGCACTTTCCAGAACCCAGGAGGGCTTCCACCCCATCTTATTTCAGCGCACACCACACAGATGCAACCTGCTACCAGGGGTTGATTTGGGCCCACTCAGAGTGAGCAGGTTCCCAAGAGGATCATGAAAGGAGCACAGAAACGGACTGAGAGGAGTTCAGACATCACCATGGGAAAAGAGTGGCTCACCCAAACAGCCTGAGCACTTTCCAGAACCCAGGAGGGCTTCCACCCCATCTTATTTCAGCGCACACCACACAGATGCAACCAGGCTCACTGCAGCATGGGAAACAGCCCTGCCGCGTTTGCCAGCTCTGCTTTGGAGCACAGGTGAGTTTTGCCCTGCAAAGTGCAGCCCCCCAGGGATGCTGCGGGTGCAGGCGGGGGGGGGGGAGGGCGGGGCGTGTCCC